CAGGAAGTGTATGAATATCTCGAGGAACTTGATGAAATGAATTGGTCAGTCCGAGGTAATGTATTGAATCAATATTTGAGCAACACTTCAATTGGAACGACAGTAATAGAGGTTCAACTGTAGTAGTATGCAGAGGTGTTCAAAAGTGTTCCAGACATTATTCACTTAATAGTATGTTGCGTCGTACGTTTTCTAATTCGCGTGGTTCTATTGGTTTGAGCTTGTTATATACTATGAGAAAAATGGCGCCTAGGACCACGCCTATTATAACAAACGGCAGCACAATTAGTGTCAGTACACTCATATGTTTCACATCAGGTGAAATATACCAACGTATTGTCACCGCCAAGATTGCGAACACAACGTTCTCTACGGATAATAAACTGTACAACACGAAATGGACAGTGCGTGAACTGGTTAATACATCTGGCACGTGCAACAAGAACAGAAAGGTGGCAATGATGTATACAATCACATTATACATCACTGCATCGCACTCGATTTCAGCACACTTACATCCATCACACTTATCCTCTGTCAACCTTAGGACAACATGCACAATCAGCCAATGAACCGCCAGAACTGTGATCACATGTTCCTTAGAGACGTATGCCACTGCTGCAATTGCAAAAAGTCTGGATAGCAAACTAAACAATTGAGAAGTGAAAAATACAACCGTGGCTGGCAGTGTGAAATTAAGTCTATTTTTATTTGCACTCGCTTTCTCAAGAGCGGTAATACTCCATGCTAAAGAAAGCAGGGAAAACACGGCTGAGAGCACGGTTAACCATGGAAAATCCCACTCACGTAACATGATGTAAATCTGTAGACACCATTGTGGAGTAGACTCTGTGAGTGTCTCTACATAACGTACCCACGCGAGCCTGTATGCTGACTTGTTAGACTTCGTTATCGCCGCACGGTACTGTTCGCAATCTGGACAATTGCATTCCTTATAGTTGTCCCCACAAGGGGAATTATCCCGATATGCTTGCTTCCAATATTTGAACTCTTCAATATAACGCACAAATATGGACGAACATACAAACAATAAACAAAAGCTTGGTCTTGCACAAGGACCATCATCTACGAGAGCCATAAAATTGACGATGAAAAGCGGAACGATAATAAAAAATACCGTCAAACCATACCACCAGTATTGGCTATTAACCCTATGTCGTGTTGCTACAATTATGTCTGTGACCACATCAAATATAAACAACACGAGGCCTGTGCTCAGCATGAATAATTCCTTCTTTCCTCTCATGTTGACCTGTCGAATGAAAAAAATTTATCTTACTATTGGATTTTCTCATAGGCTAGCAGATGACGACCAACTACTCAACTTTGGAAGTTAAGATTAGAAATCTAGTGTGGCAGATGGTGGTCATTTTCAGAAATGTTGACATTCATGGATACGTTATCTCAATTCCGCTTAGATAATACAGTTGGTGCTGAGTAAAAATACTTAACAGGTCTACATAAATATAAGGTCTATATAATATAAGGTCTATATAAATATATATATATATATATATATATATATATATATATATATATATATAATGAATAGTTACCCAGCTGCAGTAAGCATTACTGCCCGTACACCAAGATTTCAAGCGGTTGAAAATTCGACACATTTTTACAAGTCAGTTCTGTATTGCACACTTCAATAAAAGCTACGTGCAGTTTGGTTTTCAATACATAGAAATATCAAGCTGTGTTTTACCAAGGGGCCATTCACAATACTGATACGTGACGTTGTTTTTGCTAATACTCACAAAACACAAATTTAATACGCAGAAAAAAGGTTTTCCTTCGCGAATCTTAATCTCTAAACCTTAAACTCTAAGCGTGCAAAGCATGATGGGAGCATAATTTAATCAGTTTAGAAAGCGTATTGGGGCCCATTTCTTATAGAGACGTGGTAAATATCTCCTTACGAGAACAATTTGGTATATTCAACTATACTAAGCCTGAAACTTGTCTCCCATTAAACTTTGCGCGCTTAGAGTTTAAGGTTCAGACTTTAAGGTTTGCAAAGGGCAACCTTTTTTGAATTGGCTGTATGAATGTTACTCAGCTGCGGTAAACATTACTGTCGTCCGTACACCAAGATTTCGACCGGTGAAAAATTTGACACATTTTTACAAGTTAGTTCTTTACAGCACACTTGGATAAAAGCTACGGAGTTCGATTTTTAATATACATAGAAATATCAAGCTGTGTTTTTAAGAGAAAGTTAATTAGTACCATTTGAATTGAAGGTTAATTGATTTATTGATTTATTTAACACAAACGTGTTGTATACAAACATTAATTAAACAGTAGAACAACGAATGGCGGGGCACCACAACAGTATAAGCCAATTACTGTGGGCCCTTGTTAACAAATATAACACTGAGTATAAATTCGAAATCTATGAATAGTATAATTAGGGCCATGCTACACGAGACCACCTTCGCTGCAACCTGCACTGCGGGTTGAATGCTCTTAAAGCAAAAATCTTAAAGCAAACATCTTAAAGCAAAAATCTTAAAGCAAAAATCTTAAAGCAAACTATAGATAGCAAAGTTGAGAAGTGAAAAATAAAACCGTGGCTGGCAGTGTGAAATTATGGCTATCCTTATTTACTCTCGCTTTCTCAAGAGCCGTATAATACTCCGTGCTAAAGATGGGCACAGTGTCATACCGTTATCACACAGGGCTATCAGACATAGCTAGAACTGTTCAGCGCCGCGGTATATTTGGCCGGCCATGCACCCTGGCATTTGCGAACTCATGCATTAATTTGCGCCAATCGTATATATTGGCTTTTATGTTAGGTGCTCTATAGGGTTTGCCATGTGCGAAGTTAAATTTAGGGAATAATTTATGCATTGAGGCCAAGGGCAAAGTGGTTTAGTTTTGAAAGGAAAGCCTCGTTTTTGCTAGCAAGCCGGGACAGGCTTGAACACGTTTGGGCGGCGAAGTGGACGAGGCTTGATTTGTGGATAGTTCTATCAGGTCTATAAACTGTCTATCAGTTTTAAACTGTTCTCCCTAGAGATCCAGTAATTAGGATCATCTCTTATTGATCCAGTGTTACTACAGGAGGAAACCTAAACTAAACTAACTTTATTTATACTGGATAGTTCTATCAGTTCTAAACTGTTCTCTCTAGAGGTCCAGTAAGGATCATCACTTATTGATCCAGTGTTACTACAGGAGGAAACCTATTCTGAACTAACTTTATTTATACTGGATATATAGCTCTATGTCAGTTCATGTAAATTATTATTATTATTATTATTTGGTGTTTAATGACACATTTTCGCATAAACAATGAATTACAATGTGTTTACATTCAAAGTCAAATTTAGTTTATAGTTATTTACACGGTCATAAAATTTAAGGTAAAATAGGTTACGAATATTATTAATATATAAGTTGAGAATAGTAAGTTAAGAATATTGTTAAAATTTAATCATTTAATCTAAGGTAGGTTTCTTTCTCTATTTCATGGCATTCAATTCACACTGTATTAGTATTGTAACACAGCATTGTTAATTCTTATATAGCAACATATTAATTTCTGCATGCGGAGATGTTAAAAAAGTGGGGTTTTTTCCAGATATCATTCACTTGACAGTATGTTGTATTACAAGTTTTGTTCTTCGTCTGGTTTGTGTAGTTCTTTTGTCGGTTTGAGGAGCTTGTCATACACTATGTGAAAAATGGTACCTAGGACCACGCCTATTATAACCAACGACAGCACAATTGGTCTCAGTACACTCGTATGTTTCACATCAGGTGTTGGTATTGTCACCGCCAAGATTGCGAACAGAACGTTCTCCACGGATATTAAACTGTACAACACAAAATAGACAGTGCGTCGACTTGAAAAGTTTTTTGTTAACATTTCTGACACGTGTAACAAGAACGGAAAACTGTAAACAATGTATCCTGCAAACAATATTAGTACATCGTGCTTGCAATCATCATTCTGATCGCCTGTCAACGATGAGATATACATTATCAGCCAATGAACCGCCAGTGCTGTGAACACATGTTCCTTAAAGACGTATGCGAATGCTGCAATTGCAAAAAGTCTGGATGACAAACTAAACAATTGGGAAGTGAAAAATACAACCGTGGCTGGCAGTGTGAAGTTATGGCTATTTTTATTTAATCTCGCTTTCTCAAGAGCGGTAATACTCCATGCTAAAGAAAGCAGGGAAATCACGGCTGAGAACACGGTTAACCATGGAAAATGCCACTCACGTAACATGATGTAAATCTGTAGACACCATTGTGGAGCGGACTCGGTAAGTGTCTCTACATAACGTACCCTCGCGAACTTGTATGCTGACTCGCTATACTTTGTTATCGCCGCGCGGTGCTGTTCGCAATCTGGACAATTGCATTCCCTACAGTTGTCTGCACAAGTTGAATTATCCCGATATGTTTGCTTCCAATATTTGAACTCTTCGACATAACGCACAAATATGGACGAACATACAAACAATAAACAAAAGCTTGGTCTTGCACAAGGACCATCATCTACGAGAGCCATAAAATTGACGATGAAAAGAGGTACGATAATAAAAAATACCGTCAAACCATACCACCAATATTCGCCTTTAAGCCTATGCCGTGTTGCTACAATTATGTCTGTGACCACGTCAAATATAAACAACACGAGGCCTGTGATCAGCATGAATAATTCCTTCTTTCCTCTCATGTTGACCTGTCGAATGAAAAAAATTGTCTTACTATTAATTACTCAACTTTAGAAGTTAAGATTAGAAATCTAGTGTAGCTAGATGATGGTCGTTTTGAGAAATGTTGACATTCATAGATACATATCTCAATTCGGCTTGGAATACAGTTGGTGCTAACTGAGTGAAAAATACTTAACAGGTCTACATAAATATAAGGTCTATATATAAATATATATATAATGAACAGTTACCCAGTTGCGGTAAGCATCACTGTCCGTGCAGCAAGATTTCAAGCGGTTGAAAATTTGACACATTTTTATAAGTCAGTTCTGTACAGCATACTTCGATAAAAGCTCCGCAGTTTGGTTTACAATACATAGAAATATCAAGCTGTGTTCTACCATGGGGGCATTCACAAAATACGTGACAGTGTTTTTGCCAATTTTTACCCCTTCCTATCCCCTTGTGACAGTGTGTCACAGCTATAGCAGTACACCCCATCATAAAATATGTGACCTCGACGCCCCGAAAAAAAAAACACTCACAAAACACAAATTTAATATGCAGCAACAGATTCGAAACGTTATATGTATAAATTGACACTATGTCAATACCTTATTAAACCTCAGCTTAAACATATGCACCAGAGTACCATTGATGCAGATAAGCTTTAGTTTAGCATGAAAAATAAGCAAAGGCTTTCGATTTTTTCATTGAAGACTCTTCAGAATAAGTTGCTTCAATTTCACTGGTTTATTTAGTGAAGTAAGTTTGTAATACCTAAACTAAACTGTGTATAATGCCGTTTCTTCAACACAAACACCTTATCAAGAGACAAAACATCCAAATTGCGTTTTAATGCTCTCCTTGCTGAGCATTTTATTAAATTGATGGATTGTCCGCTGTTAACTATTGAGCTTAATACGAATTCAGAAAGTCAAAATTCAGACTGTAAGACCTCTGAACACTACTTAATAGTGAATATAATAGCGATGGCATACATGATATAGCTAATTTGAAGTCGGCAACTAGAATTAATTATCTGTAACAAATATACACCAACATATAATTATTTTTAACGCATTATTTCGCTTGGTTTGGTTTTGTACTTAAGCAACCGATATTAAATATATAGTTTTTATTATATGGATATGAGTAAAATACCGTAAAATACGCCACTGATATTTTCCGTATTTCACTATAGTGAAATATGAAATCATATCTTACGCGGGAACGTCTCGCGCGGGACCCACGCTAATTCCCGCCATTTTGCCGTTTCTGTTTTGAATATACAATATGACAACTTCTCGACATTTTGTTGATGTTTTCGACGCTGATTTGGCAAGGTTTTCTGAAGAAAATGAAAACACAAAAACGAAGACTAATTAGTCCTATTTGGCGATCTTCAGCGACTATTTAGCCTCGATTAGCAAGCGGAGAGACATAAACATTGTTGCCGTACGGTGAGCTACAAAACAAAAAACAAAACTTGAATAAACTAATAAAGTCATTCGTTTTGTTGTTTTTGCTTCAACTTTTATTCATATAATAAAAAGAACATTTCACGGTGGCTTTGGAAATATGACTTTTATTTTCTCGTGTTGAAAACAATATTTTACTCACTCGCTGCGCTCGTTCGTAAAATATTGTTTTCACCACTCGAAAATAAAAGTCATATTTCCGTGCCACCGTGAAATATCCTCTATATATAATCTGTATTACAAAATTTGGCAAACGATAAAAAAATTAAGTCTTAATGTATCCAACATTGTTTTCATGCTAATTCACTTTTGTTGTGAATTGTGGCCCCAAACAGCAGGTCATTCACATTTTGCTTTCAAATAACCAGCGCGTAAAAACATCCTGTTTCGCAGAATACACGCGCGATTTCCAGGTAACGTGCTTGCTAAGCGTTTACGCATGCTCAGACAATATTCCCACCTGTTTTTGACCACAAATATGGCGACTGATTTCATTGCCATGGTCACTCATTGTACACTTGCCTTATGTGAAATAATTCGTTATTTTAAAGTCCCTTTGGAGAATTGAAACATGGAAGGAAAACTGTTATTGGTCGCGGGCCTTGTCTTGTACATAGTTGACGTGGTATTCGACATTATTGTTTGTTTTCAGCATTGGAACAATAATGAATTATGGTGGTTTGGGATGACGGTTTTCTTTATCGTTGTTCCCTCTCTCATAGTAAACATAACAGCGATCTTTCAACTAATAAACGTGTGCTCATGTCTAGCGGCCGTTCTTCAGTTGTCCATGGTTTTTCGTTATATCGAAGCGCTTAGATCGGATTCTCATATCTACCCACTTGCAAAGTTACGTTATCTAGAGACAATTACAGAGTCCGCTCCACAATGGTGTCTTCAGACATACATCATGCTACGTCAGTGGAAATTCCCATGGTACACCATACTCTCAAGTGTGTTGTCTCTTGTGTCTTTATCTTGGAGTATCACGACACTCGAGGAAGCAAGAGAAACTGACGAAAATCGAAAATTCAACTTCACTGCTAAAGTCTTGTTCATGATTTGGCAACTTTCTACACTAATATCAAGGTTATCTGCAATCGTTATTTTCGCTTACACGTTTAGATTTCACGTACTCACTTTCGTTGGAATCCATTTGTTGCTTCTAGTGGTAATTGTTTTTTTTACAAAAAGGACATGTGAATCATGGTTGTCTCTCTGTCCTTCTTTCTTTCACTCTTCACTAACCGTCATTAAAATCAAAGAACCCGAAGTCGAATTCATCTTGGGGTATATTTTACTCCTTGTAGAAAATATCGTCATGGTGGCATTGTCTCTAGCGATTGAAATCCCAGACGTACCACACATGGATATATTGCAACCAATTGTTATTTCGTGCCTCGTAGGAGGGACAATCTTATCAATCATTTTCTTCTTTTTGTATTACGCTTACGTTGGGGATGATGATGCAGATACATAATATATTTAATATCATTTAGCTACCTTAAAGGGGCAGTATGATCAAAATTTTTATTCTCTTAAACCAAAGCTTAAACGAAAATGCTCGTAAAACTGTATAATAACTTGTTTTGAAGATTTTGGTTCCCATGCTTAGTTCTTGAGATATTTTGTTGTAACCATGTGACGTCATTTACTCAATTACATATTTTATGAGATATCAGTAATTGTTGTGTATCTTTGCTATTTTTGATCGGTTTGTTAAAAAACACAGTATGCTTAATGATGTAGGTTAAATTAACAAACGCGTCGCATCTTTCCAAATATTTTGATAAAAATAGCAAAGATACACAACAATTACTGATATCTCATTATATATGTAATTGAATAGATGACGTCACATGGTTACAAACAAAATGAAATATCTCACGAACTAAGAATGGGAACTAAAATCTTCAAAACAAGTTATTATACAGTTTTACGAGCACTTTCGTTTAAGAAAATAAAAATTTTGATCGTACTGTCCCTTAAAAACCATTACCAGCAGACAATTTAATAAAATACAAGAAAAAACATACTCCGAAGAATAACATCTTGTAAACTCAAGATATGAGCTATAACACAAGATAACAATTTTGCGGTGATATTTCGACTCTATTTCAAAGTCATTGTCAAACCAGAATAAGCTATTTACAAACTTGCTATCATACTATATACAAATAAACAGGAAGAGATGACGTATTAGAAACGGTACACTATTGACATACAATGATACTTAAGAAAAGACCACGAGTTCTTTAGACGCTCTTAATCCATTATTAAGCACGGGCTTTCTGTATTTAATATACATGTACAGAGCTTCAAGGAATAGGAGAAGGTTGGAATTCGTGTGCTTAAGAGTGTGAAGAGTTTGAGTGTTAGCCTGAATGAGATTGTGAAACGAGAGCGGTGTGTCCACCACACACTGTGAACACCATGCATGAGACCTAGTCTCGTTTGTGCTTCTCCATCTTTGGTACGTTTTTACATATTGTTATTCTTGTGTTAGTATGTGCTAGTTATGTACAATAATGTGTGTGGCTCTTTGCATGCTTGCCAAATAAAGCTGTTAAATTAAAAAGAAAAATTAACTCTAGTATACAGACTGCCTCAAGGCTAGCTACAATCATTTTTAAATGTGTTGGAACAGATGCCCCAAATAGCTATAATTTGAACATCCCAGTTAGCATCTTAATAGACCTTTCCGGTAATTACGTTACAGGTACATTGTTTTCAACTTAGCACCACCTTAATTAAATGGAATGGATTTTAATTTTTTTTTCTCACCAGCTATATGCGCAAAGAAGCGAGCATCCTTCAACACATGCATGGAAAAGATTTTATTTTGACCAATAAAAGTGAGACTAAGCTTTCACACGAAAACGAGGCTGAGGGACCGTGGCCCCTGAGCCTTGTTTTCGCGTTAAAGCTTATTCCCGCATTTACTGGTCAAAGTAATAATTTTTTATCATGCATGTGTTAAAGAAGGATGTTCTGCTTCTTTACGCATAGCCAGTGAGAAAAAAACTTGAACTTGATTCCATTTAAGCGTGATTTAAGGTGGTCTTAAGTTGAAAACAATGTAGTTGTGACGTAATTACCGGAAAGGTCTATTTGATGTGCTATGGAGTCCTGATTGGGAAAACAACATTAATTGGGGAGAGTGGGGCAGATATAAATGTTTGTATAACAATTTGCATATACAGTTAATTCAGAAAAGGTTGTTTTTCCGGGGCCGATTGTTCAAAGCTGGGTTGTCTATAAATTTGGAAATATTTCTTCAGAGATCTTGTCTGGATCGATAGAAGTTTACTTCTCTGACGTTTTGAAATAAACAGACGTGCAGAAATATACAAACTAAAACAGCAGATTAAATTTTAACCCAGGTTTAGTACTAACCCACCTTTGAAAGGGATACGGCAATATATTGTTTTATTATTTCATTTTAAAGAACTTTTAAAATTATATGTAAATCTCTTTTACCGATTTTGCGTAACTTTATTATTTCTTGAGATATTTGAACAGAAAAAAATCACAAATCAGCGAGCTTTCCGCCATCTTGGATTTTGGCGGATATGCATGTGACATCATAAGCAGGGTCACGCAAGAATTTTATCCATAGAGCAATTGGTTATTATGCCAGCCCAAAATCATATACTTCAGTAACTATTTGAAATAAAAAGCTGTCTGACGATTTTCAAACAAGACTTAATGTTATTTGGTCATTTAGATGTAGTTTTATATGGCTAACCCTGCTTATGACGTCACTAAAATCACCGATAATGAGATAAAAATTAATCCAAGATGGCGGACATCAAATTATTTTAAGTCAAAATATTTCAAGAAATAATAAAGTTACGCAAAATCGGTAAAGGAGATTAACATATAATTTTAAAAGTTCTTTAAAATGAAATAATAAAAAAATATATTGCCATATCCCTTTGAACCTTAACCTGAACTCTAAACCTTAGCCGGTTTTCCACTTCAACCGTATTTGTAGCGAAGCGTAGCGTATTTCTTTGTTTCATTAGAACACTAGAGTGTAACTAATGACTTCGACACAAACGACAATGCTATGCTACAATTAAAGCTCAATCCTTTTTTACATTTAAATACTCTTAATATGTTAAGATTTTTTTTTAATATATATGAAAATTGTAAATAATTATGCATGCACTATTTACTATTTTGGTAAATGCCTAATGATTTTAACTCTTGTAAATAGCCTAGATTCTAAAGCATATCCATGTACTATTTTATAACATATTCTTATCTATTGTAAAGTACTCGTTAATTCAGTTGTTTCTGTAACTGCAAGAGAGTCCTAATTACGGTGGCCCACAACTGTCACACTATATATTTAGCTTCAACCAAATAAAAATTGCTCACATCAAATTAAAATTGCTCACATCAAATTAAAATTGCTCACATAAATTAAAATTCACTCACATCAAATTAAAATTCACTCACATCAAATTAAAATCCACTCGCATCAAATTAAAATCCATTCACATCAAATTAAAATTGCTCACATCAAATTAAAGTTGCTCACATCAAATTAAAATTCACTCACATCAAATTAAAATTGCTCACATCAAATTAAAATTCACTCACATCAAATTAAAATTAACACAAAATGAGCAACGTGAAGGGAACTCGTACAGTATCTCTGGACAATAACTGCATGGTCACATACTGTATGCTTCACGTTTTAAGACATACGTTTTTACAAGGTTTCCTGATATTAGTTTTCAAATACATGAACATCCTTTTCTGTATATAATAGTAGAGAGTACTATGTTTTGCACCAATTGTGGGATTGATTTAGACGACAACGCAAACTACTGTACTGGCTGTGGACAAGGTAAACAGTATAATTATAAATCAATATTCATTTAGAAATACACTGATATAGGAGAATATTAACAACTTTGTCAATGTTTGTCTGCAGGGCCGTACGCAGGATTTTTTCACCAGGGGGCAGTACGTAAGGCCCATATGCCAAAAAAGTCCTAAATATCTAAAGAATAAGTAATAATGTCATTCTAAAAATCGTAAATATAGTTTTCTCTAGGGGGGGCAACTACCCCTCTTGCCGTCCCCCCCCCCCAATCCCCGCTGTGTACTGCCCTGCTTGTTTGATATTTCTGTGCCAGCAGGATATTCGGTAATGATTAATGGTAACCTGGTTGACTTATAGGATTTTCAAGTTTCCACTAAAAAATGTTTTAAAGTTAGCACAAAACACATTGATCTATCAGACAACAATTAAATTGTGAAAATAATACTATCTTGATGTCATTTCCTAATATAAATTGGTTGTTTCAGATGCACTTATTTGACCAATATTTTATTGGTTAAAACAACCAAAAATTTGATTATTTTAACAGTGTGTAGTGTTAAATAGGGATAAAAGTTATAATGTAATTATTGACTAAGCATACGGATGTTTTTTTTTCAGAAGCTAACATGGAGAGTTCAGATGACAATTCTGATTTTACTGATGATACATTTGAAGACAGCGAGGAAGAAGTTCTGAAATATTATTTCTTTCGCGGATTTACCTACGAAGAAATTCTTTTGTTTCTGGCTAAACGGCATCATTGTACTATAAGTTATAGCACTCTTCTTCGGCGGTTGAAGAAATATGGTTTAATGAGAAGAGGTGTAACAAACAAGGATTCATTTGAAAACACATTTCTGCAAGTGCAGAGGCGCATAGCGGAACTTATTAACGGGCCTGGCTCATCCATGGGGTACCGTGCAATATGGCATGCACTTGAACTAGAGGGGATTCGTGTCCCTAGAGTAATTGTTCAAGATTTGTTAAAGGAAATGGATCCTGAAGGTGCGGAACTTCGGAAAAGACATCGTCTAAAAAGACGAGCCTACCACAATCCTGGCCCCAATTACTCATGGCATATTGACGGTTATGATAAACTTAAATGTTGGGGTTTTCCAATACACGGAGCGATTGACGGCTACAGTCGAAGAATTTTGTGGCTTCGTGTTACTCGTTCCAACAACTCGCCAAATCAAATAGCTTCTTTCTATGCTGGAGTTGTTTTAGAACAAGGTGGTTGTCCAGTACAATTAGTGACCGATTTGGGAACTGAAAATGGAAATGCAGCCGCTTTACAGTCATATTTCCGTGATAACTCCGAGGCTCATCGATACGTACCCTCTCCGAGAAATCAACGAATCGAAGGATGGTGGGCGTACTATGCCAGGAGTCACAGCCAGTGGTGGAGGAATTTTTTCAAAGACTTGGAATCACAGGGGATTGTGGACACAGCTTGCGAAATAAATATGGAGTGTTTATGGTATTGTTTTCACAAGTTATTACAGACTGAGCTAGACTTAGTGAAAGAGCACTGGAATTCCCATAGAATTCGGAAATCAAGACACGATACCATTCCAGGACGACCAGATTCTCTTTATTTTTTGCCACAGCTTCATGGATCGAGAGATTATTTATTTCAATTAGCTGCAGCCGAAATTGGATTTGCTTCAGAGAACATAATTGAAGATGAATTAGCAAATGATCACCAAGAATACTTTGAATACGTCAGAAATAATCTCTCTTTGTCACACCCCGAAGACTGGGAAGAAGCATTGAACATGTTCAGAAGATTAATGAATATAGCAGCTAATGGGTATGATTAATTGACGAAACGGTGCACATTAACAATGACTACGGTTGTTTAGTGGAAACACATAAAGCAACCTGTAGCATTCAAATCTTAATCTCAAACAATTTCAACAATTACAGAATTGTTCGCCATGGCAACAACCAGTGGCGTAACCAGCCCGACAATTTAGTCCCGCTGTGCAAATTCAAAATATTACCATTATTCATTTCTTTAGAAATTGATTGTTTTTACAGTCATTGAACACGAAAATATTTGCATAGCGGTACTAAATCGTCGGGTTGGCTACGCTACTGGCAACAACTACAAACATATTCTTGTCTTAGTATATAAAAATTATTTTGTAATAATATATATTTTTGTTAGTCAAAGACAAAGATGATATTTATATACCCTATAGTATTCAGAATGGGAGTGCGCACATCTTTTCGATGGTAGCATGATGATAATTATGAAGCTATCATCCAGTAAGTGTAATCAATACTAAATATTGATCTGGAAAAACAGTTTTGTAATCCTCTGTTCGTTGCATCATCAATAATCAGTATTCTTGCCGTAAAGTTTTGAATTCCTAACAAGTTTGTATAACATATAAACACGAACACAACGCAACATCGATAATTCGTGAACTAATACATACATAAATATACTGTACAATGATAGCAAGTTGTAATAGAGATAAAAACAGTGGCGGCGCCAGGCCTCAGAATTTGGGGGGGGGGGCATTTAAGGGGCAAACTCATATTTTGGGGGGCAAGATAGAATTTTCAAAAAGGTACTGCTAGGACTTTCGCCCCCCAGAACCCCCCCCCCCCCGTGGTGGGAATATCCTAAGAATATCGCCCTCCTTTAGGATATTCGCCCCCCATATATGCGATGTATCTTATTAGTGCCTTACACGTTTGAGAATTTAACTCTGCAAAACTAAAACTTTTTGTCTATTTTGAAACGCATTATTGGAGTATTGGCAAGTTTACAGACTCATATTGAAACTGTATACGCGCATTTACTAATGAATAATGACAACTTTATAGCCATACATTTTCCGATAACGACAAAACGCTTGTGTAGCCTGTAGTCGCTCTCAGTGACTAATAAATTTGAGGAAGGGGGGGGGGGGGCAAAATAGGGGGGGGGGGCATAAAATAATTTTGGGGGAGGCATTCCCCCCTTGGCGCCGCCACTGGATAAAAACCTAACCATCTACTGTAATATAATTATATTATATTTTAGTTAAAGTTTAACTTCTGTCTCATAACAATAACAATAACTTATTATAATTTTTTTAAACCAAAACATATGTCATCTACGTATCGTGCACTATGGCCTTGCGAAAGCCTGCCCTTTAGAAAGAGCAGTAGTAAAGACTTTTTTGAAACTCTCTTCCTCTTCCATGTGACTAACCGGAAGGGTTAGCTCCCTTCCGCAAGCACCAACACATGGAAAGCAGATAGTGTGGTTTGGTTGACGAACCAGACAATCATGGTCGAAATTGACATAAATGGATAAGGGATCCCCATTGATCGGTCGATGTCGTTGACCAGTGAGCCAACCCAACATCCCTGGAACTGTTATCTCTGCCACCTGAAATTCTTCATTTGTTTGTTCAGCAAATGGTTCCGAACTTTCTTCTATCTCGACATAATTCCACGACACTGCCTCAGAATAGCCTGATACCTTTTCATCATTATCTTCCAATGAGTTCAGGAAATCTTGAAAATGATCCATAACACGCTCCTCGATTCCCTTTCGAGTTGAGCCATCAACTGAATAACGTGGTTTCATGAGTGAAAAAACGAAGTTGGCATCAACTGGTTGTGCTTGTCCCATCACGAAATATTGCTTGAATGCTTCAGGATTTTGTTTCATCATTTCAGCAAGTCCGTAAAGTTCAAGTCCTTTCATAAATTGGCTTAAGTATAATTGTCGCTTGCTGACAATACTAACAACAATAGATCTACGAATGTCACCGATGTGCTCCTGATCAATCTTACCCGTGTATCCGTGTTCTATTATAGCCGATGAATTGCTCCGAAGGTCGCTTACAACATTCTCTAAGTGGATCTTCTCCGCAGGTGTAATGTCGTTGTCGTCCAAACTCATGAAATCGGTATTAGCATCCACCATTGTTCTGTAAACACATTCATGTAAGAAACATGGGGGTGGGCCTCCTTGGGCAAGGCTTACTGCAACGACCTCTCCGCAACTCTGAAAATATCCTTTCTGTACATTATGCGTAGAATCAACGGGACTACCATCAGGAAAGATCGAATTTCCCATGTCAGTAATAACATTTTGAAGGAACTCTTTTGCCATGGCTCCACGATCTATTCCATCTTCGCCAGTAAAATGAACTCTTAATGTTTTGTCAGCTTTATTGCGTTTTGATTCACGTTGCCATAAATTGAGGCACCTTGAAAGATTTGATCCTCTACGAGCCACTATAAAAAACTGACCTGTTGCATCAACTCTTTTGTTCAACTCTTTTATGCAATCTTTGTCAGTTATTAATGCATCATTGATTATTTGCGTTTCAAAATCATCCGCATTCAATTGGGTATTGTCATCTTCCATTACTATAACTTCATCGACGACTGGTAACAAATCTGGGAACACGTCTGGTAACGCCTCAGTGACACAATTTTCATTGTCCGCACTTTCCCAATCGATCTGGCTTTCTAATTGTTTTGCAAGATTTTCGTCAAATTTAATTTGATTATCAACTTCAGATGTAGAATTGGTGTTAGATTTAGCACACTTACGTGGAGGACTTGCATCTTCAGAATCACTATCGCAATCTCCCATAAGCATGTGGTTATGATCTTTCATAGTGCAAAGGTACAGGTTGATTCGGTTATAATCAATACCGGACTCCTCGTGATATCGTTTCAGCGAGAATGGTTCATTAGTTCCAGGCAAGAATTTAACGATCTGACCATCCTCGTAAACAAGAAAGTAGTGTTCATCTGCATCATACAAGTTACTGTAGTAGGCTTTCCATTTTTCCTCTGCCTTTTCACGAAGAACAGCTGCAGTTGCTGTGCTTGATATACGAATTCCCACTTTCTTTCCTCGCTTCATTTTCAGAATTCGTTCCTTTTCATTCCATTCCAGAAGTCGTATAAAAATAAGAACATCCTGTTCATTTTTGGAACTGCTACCAGCTTTAGATTTTCCACCTTTCACTTTAGAGTTCCATTCTTTTCCTTTGGACGTTTTGTACTGGAGAAAAGATTTAATGGATTTCTTGGCTTTATCAACGACACTTGGTTCACGTTCCGTAGCACAATCTTCTTGGTTGTTCTTCTCTGCTCTATCCGCTCTTACTATTGAAAAAAATATAAGCGTCATCACTAAGATTTAAGTCTAGCCATGTAAAATCCTAGGCGAAGTTGTTCGCGCGAACAGTAAAAAAGTAGGAACTGATCCAACTTTTTCGCGGCGAATTTTTTCGCGGACCAATCACATTGCCAAAATTTGTTTATCGCTTCGCGTCGCGCGAAAAAATTCGCCTAGTGGAGAGAAAGTGACCGGCGATTTTTTAAAATATATATGCACAATGTATGTTAATATTCCAAGCACAATCGCCGAAATTCAACAATACTTTATATCTATATATACCCCTATTTTCTTAACCTCTTTAGTGTGTGCTTGTTTTAAGTACGAATTTATGTATTTATAGCTATCATTTTAAATAGTTTTTCCCGTTTTACTTTAAATGTTCAGATATTTTGGCCGAGTTTGTTTTGCGCCTTTGCGAGCCTTTTCAATCGAATTTTTCGATTAAATTTTGGTCTAAACTATTGACTGTATTGTCTATTGATGGAAATGGTTTGCCTCTTTATGTTCGAGATCTTTTAAAGATTTCAACGACATTCGATTCGGACTCTTTTGTGTGTACATTTTTATTCGGTTTTTTAACGTAAACTTTAATGATTAACAGTTCGGGAAGCCATTTTGTGTTCGAAATTTCGGACTTTTTAAGCCTTGTTTCCTTCTTTAAATTAACCAAACTTTGCTTGACATATAACGGTCCCTTACTATTATGCTGTTTTAAGACTTGCTTTTTAACTTTTTAAAACTCACAAGTTGTATTTTTAAGTTATTTTTGGAAGTTTGCAACACTGAGTAGTGTCTCGTGAGTATAAACTTTATATATAGACATTATAGGGCTATTAGTAAAACCAGGAACACCGGAACAACGGAACACCGGAACACGGAACACCGGAACAGCATCATTCCGGAACACGGAACACCGGAACACTAAAAATTCTTAATTTGTTAAAAATTCGAAAACAAATTACCGGGGGGTGTGGAATTATAATATTGCTCGAAAAGTTATTGCGTAAAACATGCTTTTTAATAATATTCTGACCTGCCGATTGCTACTATAAATTACGAATTGAAATCAGTCTTAAATTAATAAATATTTGCTCGAAAAGAATAATTCAAACCTAGAATTGTTAGTTGTTGAAAATAAATAGCTATCTTTGTTTGTTGTTGAAAACATGACCTTTGGCCGGCTTTCGATCAATATTAATAATGTAACAACAGTTGATTGGCTTACTTGAGCCCCGTTTACACTACGCTCAATTTTTGGTACGGCACGGATAAAATTGGTACCCGTACCACTTTTTTGGTTCTTGGACTACCTATTTAGGTAGTCCAAGAACCAAAAAAGTGGTACGTTACCAAAAATCGAGCGTAGTGTAAACAGGGCTCAAAATATAGGTAGTCCAAGAACCAAAAAAGTGGTACGGGTACCAATTTTATCCGTGCCGTACCAAAAATTGAGCGTAGTGTAAACGGGGCTCTTTCATCTCTCGTTCAAAGCTTTCCTTTACTTTAGCATCACTTACAATTCTTTAATATACGTAATAGCAACTTGATCGTTTCTCACACAACACATAAGCAGCGATGGTAGGGAAACTTTTAGCGTGATAATATTAACCTTTCGCCGTTTCACCTTTCGGTCAATCAAAATGACAAAAATACAAACAAATGTAGGCCGTGAATGACCCTCAATTCAGTAGGGAATTTTGTGCACTTGGAAATTTAGTTAGTACGAGTAGTGTTCTAGCTATGACTCTATCCGAGTTTTCGCTTGCCCTGAGATTTATTGTAAGCCGGCTAGAATGGTATAACAAACATATATAACTAAGGAGAAAGGTCACACGCGACGGGGTATAAATACAATAAGTTGAAGTTCCAACTTGCAATTGAAAAGTAGGTGTGCAATTTTCAACTTCCGCCCATTGAGTATATAAGTATGGAAAACAAAATTTAAAAATAATGAAGATTATTAATTTTAGCATTCTGTGATGAGGGCCGAGATATTAATATTCGTTCTATTTATACAAATTATCGGAATAATCTTTCGTGCTATATATCAGTACTTCGATATATACCGCGTCGCGTGTGACCTTTTTATATAAATATATATTGTAGGCCGGCTAGTATGGCATAGCATACTATGAATCTCAGGGCAAGCGAAAACTCGGATAGAAACTAGAGTCGTAGGATATTCACTTGTACTAAACTATCTCCAAGTGTAAAAAGTTCCCTAACGTAACTGAATGTCAGTTTAATTTACAGTCGTTAAACATACAGACAGGGGCGAAACTACTAGCCCTTTTTAATTAGGGGGGGTGTCTGCTAGAATTGCCCTGCGAAAGCCGATGATGCCCTGCAGCAAAAATTTTTTTTACCATTATTTCTCCCAAAAATGTTGGCAAGCGGGGAGGGGGGAGGGGGAGTAGTGGTCGAAAAATGTTTTTCCAATATCTGTAACATTTAGGTCTATAAATTCTATTCAATTCCCTCTGGAAGCCCCGGAAGCTACTTAATAACTCTACATTCTATAATTTAGAATCTTTCATTGCCTGCCAATCCAGATGATTTGCCCTGCCAATCCAGATGATTTGTACTTTGGGGGGGGGGGGTGTCACACCCCCCACGCCCCCCTCAAGTTTCGTCCCTGCATACA